TCATAATATTAAAAAATTTGCAAACAAAAAAGTTTAAAATTCTTGCCAAAAAATACATATATATTTCTGACATGCTATTTGAGTAAAATTAGAATATTTAATGTTAAATTAATCTGATTTGAAATAAATATTACTTACTTGTAGCATAAAAAAGTAATATACAACCAATTATTAAAGATTGGTCCTGTTCATTTGATCCAAGGTTTGATGGACTGCTAATTGACGAAGCGATGACAGCTACTATGGATGACTCTAATTGAAATAATTTTCAGAAATCTAAGTGAACACATTTTTTGGTGGTGGGGTTAACTACTCAGTAACTTTTGCAAATGAACATACTTTCCGCAATTATTTAATATTTTATTGACTTTTATTTACCTTTCGAAGATGCAAAAATAAAAAAATTAAAATACTATAAAATTTTCTTCAATTAATTTTATAATTTAGCAATGATTACTTAATTGAAGTATGACCCACACCAATGTAAATACATAAAATAAAAAATATTTAGCGAAATAGTAATTGAAAAAGTAAAGCTTAGTTTAAACTTTAAACTTTTAAAGGTGAATGGAAATTTTGAAAACCTGTTGAAACGTAATTGAAGCGACCTAATAAAGGGACAAAACTTTTAGATCATAATAATGGCAATTTCAGTCTACCATACATGAAAATAAGGAACGTATTAAGCAAAAAAAAAAAATACAAAATAAAAAATTATTTTGAAAATAGATTAGCTCAGCTAAGTTTATTAATCTTTTCAATTTTGGATTTTTAAATTTTTTTTCCACTTAATTACTATATCACATCAAGGAAACAGCCCGATACAGAGTTTTACACGATTTTAAACTATTATAAATTATTATAATTAAAATTTAAAAAAAAAAATGAAAAAATTCTAGTAAAAATTCATTATTCATCAGAAAAATTTTATTTCTTCAGACAATAATGTCCTTAATATTACTTATTTACAAAAGGTATTAAAAGCTTTTCTAATTAAGTAATGACATAGTTTTATTGGATTCATTATTTTTCAATTCAGAGCAGATTTTTAGTTAGAATAGTGCAAGTTTGAAAAAAAGTAGGTGATTTACAATTTCCAAGGACTCCTACTTTTAACAAAAAAAATATATATATAAATAAATAAATAAAAATATAAATCAGGAAATAGAAAGTTTTTGTGCGAAATTTCATGAAATTAACTAACTGGGGGGGACATATTTAAAAAAATACCAAAATTATCTAAAAACACATTTTAAAAATAATTTCATTCATTTCTGAATAAGTCTTGAAAATTTCATTAAAATCGGACAATTATTTGATTTTTACAAGAATTTCTAAATCAATGTGTTTTCAACAGAAAATAAGCGCAAAAACGTCAATGTATATGCATATAGTCACTGCGATGGCGTAAACAAAAGAATATTTTAACCAAAATTTCGAACATGTTAGAAAGGATTAAAAAAATTTAAAAAATAATTAAAAAATACTTTGGTCTTTCATCTTAATAATAACATAAACATCTTGACGATAAAACTTTATTTTTATTAAGTTTGTGGCCTTTTTCATTACGCCATGCTGTTTTTCGCGAAAAAGTGGAGGTACCTAATTTTGGTGCTAAGCACACTGTTACATACATGAAGTAGAAGGCTTATATTGAATCAATTGCTAAATCTTCTGTTAGGAAACTTGGTCGTGCGAGATAATTTTTCACGCCAGCATCTATTTTGCATCTATTTTACATATTTATAAGTCTAGTGAGGAGGCACGGTGGAGTAGAGGATAGCGGCTCAGACTGAGGAATCGGAGAGCCGAGTTCGAATTTCAGTCGAATCGGGTTCTATAGACTTGGATGGTAACTGATATACCGCAGAATGGCAAACTAATGCGGGAAAAAATCTGCTTCGTCAGTCATGTATCGAAAGATACATATCGCCTAAGCCTGTATCACGCATGGCACATAACTAACTAAATAAATAAGTCTAGCATTCATCCGTGCATCGAATATTGCTGCCACATCTGCTCTAGTGTTTCTGTTATATATCTATAGTTTCTTGACAAAAGCCAAATAGGTCCTGAACTGACATCATTTCCTCGTCGCTCTCACAGAGCTTTCCTGTGTCTTTTTTAAATAAATATTTTCACGGTAATTATTCTGGGGAGCTTACCTCTTTGGTACCTCGATTTCATGAATATAAACGCAGTACTAGATTGGCAGTTAGGTTTCATAAAATCACTATTGAAATTGATAGTTGTAACCGTAAGTTCTATGCTAATAGTTTCTTCGCGCACACTTTTCCCTCGTGAGATTCGCTTCTCGCTTCCCGGTGTATTAAGATGGCCATTTTGAAGGTAGGCAGAATTTTAACACGGTGGTGTATTAAGATGGCCTTTTTCAAGGTAGGCAGAATTTTAACACGGTGGTGTATTAAGATGGCCATTTTGAAGGAAGGCAGAATTTTAACACGGTGGTGTATTAAGATGGCCATTTTGAAGGTAGGCAGAATTTTAACACGGCGGTGTATTAAGATGGCCATTTTGAAGGTAGGCAGAATTTTAACACGGTGGTGTATTAAGATGGCCTTTTTCAAGGTAGGCAGAATTTTAACACGGTGGTGAATTAAGATGGCCTTTTTCAAGGTAGGCAGAATTTTAATACGGTGGAGAATTAAGATGGCCATTTTGAAGGTAGGCAGAATTTTAACACGGTGGTGTATTAAGATGGCCATTTTGAAGGTAGGCAGAATTTTAACACAGTGGTCTATTAAGATGGCCATTTTGAAGGTAGGCAGAATTTTAACACGGTGGTGTATTAAGATGGCCATTTTGAAGGTAGGCAGAATTTTAACACGGTGGTGTATTAAGATGGCCATTTTGAAGGTAGGCAGAATTTTAACACGGTGATGTATTAAGATGGCCATTTTGAAATTACAGAGATTTTAAAAGCGTCGTTATATTATATTTGCCATTTTGAAAGTATAGAGAATTTTTAAATTGTTTATGTATTACATGGGTCATTATGAAAGTACAGTCTTTTTTAAAAATGGCGGTGTATAACATTGCTCATTTTAAAGATATTATAGAACTTCTAAAAGCCGTTGTGTATTACGATGGATATTTTGAAAGTGTAGAGATAATTAAAAATCGTAGTGCATTACGTTGGCTTATATGAAAGTAGAGATGGCTACTTGGAGGATATATAGAAAGATTTAAAATGGTGGTGTATTACGATGGCTATTTTGAGGGCATATAGTAAGATTTAAAACGACAGTGTATTACGATGGCTATTGTGAGGGCATATAGAAAGATTTAAAATCGTGGTGTATTACGATAGCTATTTTGAGGGTATATAGAAAGTTTAAAAACGGCAATGTATTATGATGGCTATTTTGAGGGTATATAGAAAGTTTTAAAATCGTGGTGTATTACGATGGCTATTTTGTGGGTGATTTCTCTTTATGGGGATATGTGAAGGGTGGGGGTCTGGTCTCTGTCCCCACACTCTTCCTGCTAGCATTAATGAACTCAAGCGGAGAATCACTTCCGTACTGGATAATGTTACCGGAAATATGCTACAGCGTGTTTGGCAAGAGCTTAACTACCAACTTGACGTGTGCTGTGTCACAGGTGGTACACATATTGAACACTTATGAACAATGTCCCATAATAAACTTATGATGTTCAACACCTAAACTGTTCAATTTCATTGAGCTAGACTTAGTAGTTTTCAAGATAATTGCTTTTAAAATGATGTCAATTTTTGAGGGACATCCTGTATTTCATGTTAGAATCTGGTTAAATTTTTTTTGCTAGGTTGTAGTTTGGAATTGGCCGGAAGTGGAGTAAACATACCTCCTCATTTTAGATGGGTGAAATTGCTCAGCCCCGGGGATTCCAATCCTGTGGCAGCATCTCCCTCATTGCAGTAAGAGACATCGGGTCGGTGTAATATTGATGCCAGCGTGACAGTGGCCGCGGGGATTGGGCAAAAATTGTTAACCTTAGCCCATATATGTATGACACTCCCGCTATTATAACGACATTGTGTTACATCCTGCCTTAGTGGGGAGGCCAGATAAATCTACCTAATAGTGACCATGGGGTTAGAAGATACAGCAATAATTTCTGGAACGAGGTGTTATCGTTGTTTACACTATTTGCATTTGGATTATTGTCCTCAACATTGTTATCACAACGTTTCGGCCGTTCTGCTTTCAGGACTTCATCAGCTGTATATTAATCTGTGTAACCTACAAGGAATTCTGTATTGAACCGTTTATTTTATCTACAGGTATAGACTGTTCTCGTTCCATTGCCCATGACTAGTTCTTATTTTTAGTACTGCTCTGTTACTGATAGTTTCGTTTCTGCTGAGTCGAAGTAGAGTACATTAGTATTGATTTGTAAATTTGGCGACATAGCGATTGTGAGTTCCAACCCTTGAGTAGGCAGTGTGTACCTGAACACAGCGAAAACTGGACGAGCAATATCGAGTCTTTTTCTTTGGCCTGTAAAAATCTATATAATATATACTATGCAGTCCTCATAGAAAATAGTCTGGAGACTAATGTTATAGACAGACAAGCTTACTTCACTTAGTAAGTTGTCTAAGACGAGTCGTTCAACTTTCATGATATTTGACCTTCTGTTGAATTAACTATAATGGCTAACGTAGCTGTTGTCAATAAAACCTCAGAAAAGAATGGCGTCTGCAGGAAATGATTTCGTACCAAAGTAAAAGGAAGAAAATGAATAGTTGATGTCGCTTAGATGTTAAAGCATAGGTCGTCTTGGATGTTGATTTTATCCAGTCGACAGCAGCTTGAAATATTAATAAATAAATAGATTTTTTTCTTATTTACAGTTAAGTAATTGATTATTCTGTCAGAGCATTTTAAAATTGTTTCTGTACTCTCTCGTATGTATGTATGTATGTATGTATCTATGTATGTATGTATGTATCTATCTATCTATCTATCTATCTATCTATCTATCTATCTAAGCCTCTTCATTATCTATCTATCTATCTATCTATCTTAGCCTCTTCATTATCTATCTATCTATCTATCTTAGCCTCTTCATTATCTATCTATCTATCTATCTATCTATCTATCTATCTATCTCAGCCTCTTCATTATCTATCTATCTATCTATCTATCTAACTAATTCTGTTCTTATGTCTATCTATCTATCTATCTATCTATCTATCTATCTATCTATCTATCTCTATCTATCTCAGTCTCTTTATTATCTATCTATCTATCTATCTATCTATCTATCTATCTATCTATCTATCTATCTCAGCCTCTTCATTATCTATCTATCTATCTATCTATCTATCTATCTCAGCCAGTACAGTCACTAACACGCGAGGGGTTACAGAATGTGGAAGAATTAGTAACAGAAACATTAATATTAAACGGGAAAAGAAAAGTGTAATCAGGAGGACAGTATATAGCGATTGACATTGCATTTACATTTTTGATGATTAAAGTTGGCTGGAAAGCATAGAGCCAGAAGAAAGAAATTGTTAGAATAAAACTTATGGCTACGTCTAGCTAGCTCAACTGTCAATTGATGAGATCTCGACGCCAGTATGGCGCTTAAGTGCATACAGCCTAGGTACCATAGCGAATAGCTCATCCGAAAAATGGCCATGAAAGTATTTATAAAAAAAAAAAAAAGGTACAGAGAGGCAACCTTACGGCGATAGGCAAGTGACAGAAGCTGAGCCGTCAGATCATGACCAATAATATTGCTGATTCTTCTTTGGATCTTATTAAGGAGCTCCAGGTAAATAGCAGGCACACCGGACCATATATGACAGCAATATCCTAAACATGGACGAATGGTAGACTTATAAATATGCAAGATAGATTCCGGAGAGAAAAATTGTTTCTCCTGGCACAGTGAACCGACTTTCTTAGTAGCTGATTTAGCAATGGATTCGATATAGTTTTTCGACTTCATGTCAGCTGAAAATGTTAGCCAGAAGGCGCAACGAATCCTGGAGGTTAGCATCAGCCGTGCTGATAGAAGGCATAGAGAGGTCTCTCAGATGATTAATGGAGAGAAGTTTAGTTTTAGAAGCGTTAAAATAGACAAGCCATCGTTTGCCCCAGTTAACGAAGGTTTTGAAGGCATTTTGGACATCAAATTTCATTTTGACCTTGTCAGATTGATCAGCCTTACTATCGAGGCAGGAAGAAATAATAGTGCCGTCAGCGTAGGTGAAAAGTTGAGAGTTGATGTCATCGGGAGGTCGTTAATGAAGATTAAAAACAGTGTAGAACCAAGGATGGATCTCTGAGGGACTCCCGAGTCAGTAAGAAAGAATGTAGATGAGTGGCTGTTCCGGACAACTTTTGTTTCACGATTATATAAAATCGATTGTATCAGCTCAAAAATGTGTCCGGAGATAACAGTAACTTTTCAGCTTGTGGAGAAGAACTGAATGCCAAACCCTGTCAAAGGCCCTCGAGATGTCCAATGTTACAGCCATTTTTTATCTAGAGCATCGTAGTCTCTTTCCGCAATTATTGTCAGTACATTAGCAGTTGACCTGGAGAAAAGACTCTGCGATGAGAGATGATGAACCCTTTCAGCATTGATTAGGACCTCTAGGAGTTTCCCAAAAAGAGGTAGAAGGTTAATAGGTCGATAGATGGAAGGGTCGAACAGTTCTTAAAAACTGGAACAAAAGATGATGACTTCAAGCAGGCAGGAAAGCAGAAGGCAGCGAGTTTAGAGAGAAAAAGAGCCAATTCGGGAGCACACTTCTTAATGACTATTACAGGGATGCCATTAGGTCCACATGCTTTGTGGGGATCCAGGTTAGAGATGATAGCAGAAACCACAGAAGGGGTTATATGCAATAGAGAATCAATTCTAAGTGGGAAGTTAGCCAGGGATACACTAGATGAATCAAGAGTAGAGTTTAAGGAGAATTCACCGTCAAAACATTCAGCTTTATCAGCAAAGAATGATAACACCTCAAATCGATTGAAGAGGTAGGTGGAATAGAGACCTTGTACTTATTTAATACCCTATTACAGAGACGCCAGTAACCACAAGTCTTAGAGGTTGTGCAGAACTCCATTCTCTCAGCAAACAAAGGCTTAGCTCCTTCGAGGACTCGCTTATATTTATTACGAGCAGTAGCCAATAGTCCCCTGTTATGACGAAAGCTGTCACGCTGGTATAGTCGGAAATGCTGATTCCAGTGTGCTATGGGGTCTGAGTATGCCGGTGTGAACCACGAAGAGGATTGTGGTTTCATCTGGTATTTCCGAGAAGGGATGAAAGCGTCCTGGCCAGCTTTGACCCAAGAAAAACCTCAGTGGCGCAATTTTCAGTTGGGAGGTTGAAGAAGTCAGTCCAAGGGGCGTCAAAAGGAAAATCCCTGAATGTGTCCCAATCAGCATGCTGGTAACAGAAAGAGGTCTTATGGGTGAAGTTTAATGGATGCTTGGAAGGAGATATCAATAGCTACCACAGAGTGGTCTGAGTTACCAAGAGGGCAGTATTGCGAAGCTAAGTAACAGCGAGGAGAGGAGGTAAGAAATAGATCCACTAGAGAAGTCTGTTGCTCAGTTTAGCTAGAGAAGCAAGTAGGAAAGTTCACGATTTGAGTGAGGGATTGGGCAGTGGAAAAATCTAATGTCTGTACAATGTCAACGTCTGTACCTTTAGAATCTTTCAACCACGTGTCGTAGTGAGCATTAAAGTCACCAAAGACAAAGATATTTGCAGCTGGATGGAGAGAAAGTGCCCTTTCTATGCTGTCAGCTATTGCGTCTAATATACTGCAGTCCTGAGAAGAGGTGGGAGGTGATAAAGGAAAAAGAGATAGCTGACAGAGTTTAGTAACAAAAGATGGAAGCACATGATGCAAACACCAAAGCCATGCATATGAATGCTGGCATCTTTTCGGCAAAGAAGATACCCTAGAACGAAGAATTAATTGGTAGCAATGGAAAAATTCAAGTTGGTTTCACAAAGGGCACAGATATCTGGCGATCGTTCCAGGAGGAAAGATTCTACGCTGCAGAAGTTGGAACGGATACAACGCATATTGGAAAAGGAAATATTTTCTTTTGGGCGGGGGGTTGTTAGCTGGTTTAGTCTTATTTCTTGTTGTTGTGATTTCCATGAGATGTTTAAAGGAGAGAGGAAAAAGATCACCATAATTGTCGCTATCTGTTGTCAATGGCAATACAAACCAGCCAGTGCGCGACTGAAAGCAGAGCATAATGTTGCCTCAGGGTTTCCCACTGGAAATACATGCAGGAACGCCTACCCATGGCACTACAGATACCCCGATATTATGCGACTGCTGATCGGGGTAGCTTCTCTAAGCGTCACCAAAGAATTCGGGCTTCTAACAACCAATCGGAAGCAGCAGCTAGAAAACTGCCAACGTGGTAGCCTCATAAAAGAAAATCACAGTCACTGGTTATTCTGACCACCAAAAAGTTAAGGCAATTAAATCATTGTGGCCGTGGTAAGAGAAAGAAAGAAAATCGGTAAATCATATCCTGAACGGGGGACAAGGGATGAACCTCCACTTCTGCTCAGTAGACAGGGAAGGAGTCTTTTCTTTATCTATCTATCTACAGTGCTGTTCGATACAAGTGACTCACCTGATTTTTTTTACTAAATGTTCTCTTCTCCGATGAAACGATAGTTGAGCTAAATTCAAAGGATAAGCGATCTAAAATCCGAAGAAGAAGCTTTGAAAGCTCTTTGAATTTAGCAGTAAGTACTGTCAAGCATCCGTTCAGTATAATGTTCTGGGGATGCTTTTCTTTTCATGGAACTGGTTTCTTAAAACCTATTGAAAAGACCCTCAGGAGCGAGCAGTACAAGAGAATTTTAGAGTCTTGTCTGCTCCCTTCTACTGAAAGGGTGCAAATCGACCCCACCAAGCTCATTTTTATGCAGGATAATGCTCCCTGTCACAAATCAAAATTGATGAAGGAATACCTTGATGAGAAGCAGGTGAGTGTAATCACATGGGCGCCCCAATCTCCTGACCTCAACCACATAGAAAACTTATGTAGCATGTTGCTCAACTGCTTTCTCGGGAGCCTGTACTTTATAATGCTTGACAGTACTTACTGCTAACTTCAAAGTGCTTTCAAAGCTTCTTCGGATTTTAGATCGCTTATCCTTTGAATGTAGCTCAACTTTCGTTTCATCGGAGAAGAGAACATTTAGTAAAAAAAATCAGGTGAGTCACTTTTATCGAACATCTATCTATCTATCTATCTATCTATCTATCTATCTATCATTTGGATAATAACTCGCCGGTGATTTATTTTATTGTCCTTGCTCTTATTATTCTTGTTTGTGTCTATTTTATTTATTGCTAATTATAGTTACATACAATTTCAATATGTTCATTTTTTTTATTACATTTTTGTTTGTTCGACGCCCACAGAGCCAAATTGTAGTGTATACAGCAACCCTACTGAGTTGATCTGAGTCAGATTTTCTAGGAGAGGTTGCATAAACTGGCGTGGAGTTTGAACAAGGCCACGACGCACAAACCATCGGCCGCGATGACTTGTGACTTCGTAGTTATAAAATTAAACTTAATGCAGTTGAAGGGTTGAAGTTTTGATTGTTGATTTCTATTCAGTCTGTAACGACATGAAATATTTGTAACTAAATAGCTTGCTTTTCTCATTTGCAGTCAAGTAATCATTTTGCCAGTCCGTTTGTTAATTGTTTTGATGACTTTAAAACTCATTTCCCTGTGTAGCATTGTTGTTGTGTAATTACCACATATTTTCTTTTGTTCCGAATCATGTTGATGGGATGAAAGACCCAAATAAAACTCATTAATTTCTTTGGACTTTTATCCATTCATTTATAGAACTGATGTTGGGCACGTCGACATGATATAATGCTTGTCTCGCTAGATAAGTTACGACTGAATAGTTAGCTCGATCCTCAGTGGGTGCCCTATACTTTCGGCCTTGTGCCACATTTAATCTCCGCTTAAAAAATCATTTAGGGCACTTCGAAGTGATGTAATGGTTAGCGAGTTGTTTCGCTACATCAGCTACCCCTGAACAGTGAGTTCGATCCTCACTGGGTGCCCTATACTTTCGGCCTTGTGCCATATCTAATCTTTGCTGAGAAAATCATTTAGGGCATTTCGAAGTGATGTAATGGTTAGCAAGCTTGTTTCGCTACATCAGCTACCACTGAACAGTGAGTTCGATCCTCACTGGGTTTCCCATACTTTTGGTCTTGTGCTACATCTAAGTTACGTTTAGAAAACCACCATTTACAAAACTGATTTTCCTTTAGCCGTTGAAAACGTATAGAGTATACAATGTGTTCTTTGTGCCAAAAAGTTCTGAGACTGTTAACACTAAGCACTTGTTTATGAACAAATAAAGTGTTAATTTCAATATTCTCAGATGATTACATATTACAACTGCCAAAGTCAATGTATACATTAGCCAAAATGTAGTGGTTAAAACACTTAAGGTAAGGAATTAATTCAATATTTATAGATAATTCAAAATTATACTGTAGATTTTGTTTTTCCCGCTCAGTTTTCATTTTTCTAGCAATGTAGTCAATGATAACACAGGCAGGGTTTATTCAATATGCGTAGACTTTCGTTTTTTTTTTTAACAATTCACACCATGGAAGGCGATAATGCCACTAAGACGCAAAGGGGGCTAATGGAAGTGAAAGAGAATGAGATGACTTCAGAAGGAACCGGAGACCCAATCCTAAGCAAGAAACAAGAGATAAACAATATATATATATATATATATATATATATATATATATATATATAGTGACTATACATAATATCCTATGTTGACAGCACGACTCGGAGTTTTATGCAAACACGCAATCTTCAGGTGCAGGATACTCACTGACCGTTAAGCGTTATAAAATTCGCCTTCTCGTGGCTTTGATGTAAAACTGTGCGTTAAAACTTGTTTATTTTATTATTGTTGCCTATAATATTAGAAGTAATTATTTATAATTTATATCAATGAAATTGTTAAGTGCGAAAGAAGAAAAATTAAAAAAAAACATTTGAATTTACGTAAACACGCTATGTATCAAGGGGGATAACTTATATATATATGTGTGTGTGTGTGTGTGTGTGTGTGTGTGTAAGGTTCGTTTATCGTCCGGTTTACTCTCCTCCCCACACTTTTGAACAGGAGTAGAGGTTTATCCCTAGTTTCTTGTTTAGAATTGAGTTTCCGGTTTCTTCTAAAGTCTACTTCAACTCTAACATCTCCACCTAAACTCTGAAATTTACTATTTATTTATTTATTTATTTTTTCCTTACTAGGATGGGATAGGTTCGCCTATCGCCCGGTTCACAATTCCCCCCTCCCCTGGTGCTTGTTTAGGATTGGGTTTCCGGTTTCTTATAAAGCCTTCTCATTAATTTCACTCCCCTTGCGTAAAAGATCAATAATACAAACGCCAACGAGCATATCGTCGCCATTACGCCGTAAGAGATTTTCCAAGTTTTTAGAGTAAAGTATCAGTAAGTGACCTTAGACGTTCGGCTTATTCGATCGAGTAACAAGAAGATCCGTGGGCATCAACTCGAAGGTGGTCTCGATAGAGTTGGATTTCTTGGACGTCATGTTTCACTTTTATTAAAGCATCTTCAGTAATAAACGTTTCCTATTTCTTCTTTATTTTATCATCCTGTCGGATTCCACTCCATATTTGATCTGCATTTGATCTTTAATTCATATATATATATATATATATATATATATATATATATAATGGACTCTCCCGCCGGTTTCGACGTATGAGGTTCCTACAACTTTGTTTATTTAACCTTGTGTGTGAGTCGCAAGTGACATTTCAGTCCTGCTAGTGATTTGCAAAGAAGTCCACAGATTGTGCAAAAGTGTGGATTCTTGGAGTATATGGCTGGAACAGCAGCAGATATTTTATTCCTTTCCCTAGTTTGACGATTCTTGACAATGTTTGATGCTGCTTTGTTCTTGATGCCATTGTAGCATGTAGTCTTCCATTCATTACGATCAATTACGATGTTCTCAAAGGTAGTGTGATTTATATTCGCAGCTAAGAGGTTACTTTTCAGATATATGCGCCGGGACATAGAAGTACCCAGGTTGGTGTCTGGGGGCGCGGATAAACCACTGGGAGATATGCCTCCATCAGTCTTTGATAAGACAGGCATCTAGGAGAAGGACACTCTGATGAAAAATCTGAGGTCTGTTGGATGGTGCTATACAAGCCTTCACCACTATAATCAAAGCATGTGTGGGTTTCTGACAACTTAATATATATATATATATATATATATATATATATATATATATATATATATATATATATAAAAAAACTAATGGCTCTTTATATTCCGTTACAAATCATCGTGCTGGATTATTAGGTGTTATAATGGATAATCTTCACAGAGATGAAGATAAAACGAGTAACAAAAAAATGTTATTCTACAGACGGATAATGATAATAATTCCATGAATAGAGTGTGTATGCAACAAAAAAGTCTTAGAGAAAATGGTAACAGAAAGAGCATTTCTACTTAAAATCGGGAAAAGACAGCTAAAATTCCTTGGACACATAATAAAGAAGAAGGCCTTGGAAAAGTTAACCCATTACGAGGCACACTAAGGGCAAGAGAGATAAGGAAAGGCAACGAGCCACTTACCTGATGAGCTTGTGTAAATATGTGACGGATCACTGGGAGAAACCTTATAAAAGGGAGCAAAAGTGCTACGGATCATAAGCTATAGGAAGTTGTGGAGATTTGTGATCGCCTGTGTCCTGAAGGGACGCGACTGTTGTAGAGTAGATTTCACAGTGGAGGCTTGTATTTCACTAAGTGGGTCCAACGTACAAAACGTTAGGAACTTGAAATATTAGTTAATGACGCAGCAATCTAGTTGTGGTGGTGGTTGATACTTTAATGTCCGACATCGACTGACTCACCAACTCCACTGAGCCCCCTGGCGACTGCTACTACTACTACTACTTATTATATGTGGAAGAGTCTATTACAATAGAATAGGTATGTTCTAGTATAACAGCGACACACAGAAGAAAGCAGTATTTATTAAAAATGAGAATGAATAGGAACAATGGTCATATTATGTCTTTGAGTCCTTGTAGGCAACGAATTATTTTCCACCGTCCAACCTCTCTCTCACAGGCGGGTTGTGGTAAGTCTCTCACTGCTCTGTCGCTACTTCCATGGAAAGTGCTCGGTCGAACTACATTACTTGGTGATGCCAGCTCTAACCTTCAGGGCTAGGACCCGCCATACCACTTACATTTTAGCAAACCCTTCACACTCCCTCTGAATTCCATTGGTGAAAAGTAAGTTCCACTCGAACTGCTTCTTCCCGTGAACCACTGCTCCGTAGAACCGACTCCCAAGAGGATGTTTCCCCGATCACTACAATCTTATATTCAGGTCGAGAGTTAGCGATTATCTTCCCCTCCTATCTTTATAAGCCACCATTTAACGTAAGCTAACTCGCGTGGCCCCAGGCCTTGTACAGGGCGAACCTTATAGTAAGAAGAAAAAATATCATCAAATATATTGTTTCAAAATTTTTAACGAAACCTAAATTGTGTGCCACCAAGTGAGAATCGAACTTGACAGTAATGGCTTACAATATTGTCCACTCTATGTATACAAAAATTAGCCTAACCTGGCAGGGTTTAACAACTATGGATCACTATCATGAATACAATCTTTCTGCCATGGTTATAAGTTCCCGTTCAAGAGTTTCTCTCATCTGTTTACAAGAGAAGCCTACTTCAATCGAAGTAGTTAGCCCGTTGACGTATAGAGATAACCGACTTACTTTTATACACAACTTCTGGCTGAAGTGTTTACCTATCCGGCTGCTGGCTTCACCCCAACATCTTAAGGAATAACTGCCGTTGTCGATTGTTTAATGAAGTTCAAATTAGACTTGAAGAAGTTGTTTTTGTATAATGGAGAGTATGTATTCCGATCGGCTGATAATGTATAAGTCGTTGTTTGAAGTTTTTTCTTGTATTTGGAGGTAAAAGATTCATAGACACATTTAAACCAACACTAAACAAATCATAACCTCGCACACAAAAACACACACTATATGCACATAGTGGCAAAATACACGAGTTGGACCACACACACACACATACACACACACACACGGACGCATACACACCATACAAAGTGCATGTATTTATTATATAGGTTTCGTTATAATAATATATGTATGAATGGAGAAAGAATATATACACACAAATTAGCAAAAAAGAAACAC